ATACGGAGATACGGGTCGTGATGTTTCAAGAAGCATTGAGCCAGTAAAGGAGATATTATAAATAATCTAAATTATATTAATGATACAACATAAGAAATATGACAATGACACAACGGATGATATGATTAAGAATGAAAATAAAAAGTATAAGAAAAGTTCATATGAAGAAATTAGAGAATTAGTAATGGAGAAAGGAAAAGGGAATAATCCAGTTGAAGATAAGATTAAGAAAAGTAAAATGAAAATATTTAAAAATAATAATTCTAAGCAAAAGGATTATACGAAATTATTCAATTTGTAAAACATAATTCTTAATTATGTTTTAGAAATTAATAAATGTATAAATTTATCAATTTAGTTTAAATTATTTCTAATTTGAATTATATATATAGCAATGGAAACTTTTAGTGCTGAAGATATTCTAATTGACAACCTCTCATTCAAATTAAATAAAGGAGCAAGTTATATAAATGAGCGTCGTAGCGTTTCATTCTTCCCGTCTGGTTCAAATGTGTATACTCCTTCGTCTGGAAATCGTGTGTTGAAAATTGCATTAAATGCCGAAGATAATAGTTGGTTAGACCCTCAATCAGTGATGGTTTTTCTCAATGTTGAAAACAAGGATGCTACAAACAATCGGCGGGTAAGACCACTGTCTCCTGCTTATTCCTTCTTTAGAAGAGCACGGTTAATTGCTGGTAATCAACTTGTTGAAGACATTGATTATTATAACAGAAATCATCAAATGATGAGTTGTTTAATGTCTAAGGGTGCTCGTGATAATGAAGATGCCCAGAGTTTTGGTTATAGATTTGATGACGATTTAACACAAAGAAGAGCGAGCACTTCAACTGGTGTTATTGGAACTGCTTATGACAACGCTTCTATTCCAGGGTTTCAAACAAAAATGGTCGTTGGTTTTAAACCTATGCTTGGTTTATTCAATCAGTTTAAGTATATTCCTTTAAAAGCGTGTCCTCTTGTTTTGGAACTTGAACTGGTTCAAATTTTACTGATTGTATTGTTGAACCTGGTATTAGTGGTGATTTCCCCGCCAGTGAAGCGGCGCCTAATGATTTCAAAAACACGAGCGGTCAATTCGAACTAAATAATTGCTTCCTTCAATGTGATGTAGTAAGTTTGGACAATGACCTCCACAATAAATACGTTGCTCATCTACTTGATGGAAAATAATTACCTATTACTTATAATACTTATATATGTCAGTCTAATTCAGTTGTTGGTCAAGCAGCAATAAACACTACAGTTGTTCGTTCTGTGTCTAAACTCGCTGCAGCATTCATCACCTTCAACAAAGAAGACCTCACAGGTTCAAGCGCCGAAGTTCATAAAGAATACAATAGGTTTTATCATCCTATGAGCCGTATTACTTTTGCTAATTCGGGAATTTATGACAACGACCTTGATTTAGAATTTCAATTACAACTCGGTTCAAAACTATTTCCTGAATATCCCTGTAAGAGCATAACACAAGCGTTCTATTATTTACGAAAAGCATTGAATTTACCTTTGTTTCATCAACATCATTTATCTATTGAATTTAATCAGTATAAATCGAATAAGTTCATCTTTGCTATGAATATGGAAAGGGTGCCGGATTCTTCATATTCTGGAATTAATACTAAATCTGGGCAACAGCTTCTAATTCGTTGCAAACCAAGTGGTTCTATGCTTACTGCTTTGATGCCAGATACAATTTATATAACATTAGTATCAGAACAAATATTATCCATTAGAGACGACAATGATGGTCTTGCACCGTTGCATCTTGCTGCTAGAAAGGGCCATCAGACAGTTGTGCAGTGCTTGTTAGATGCCGGTGGTGACAAAGAGAAGAAGGCCCGCAGTGGCGCCGCACCATTGCATTCTGCGGCTGAGCAGGGCCATCAGGCAGTGGTGCAGTGCTTGCTGGATGCCGGTGCTGACAAAGAGAAGACGGCCAACGCTGGCCTTACACCGTTGCATCTTGCTGCTAGAAAGGGCCATCAGGCAGTTGTGAAGTGCTTGTTAGATGCCGGTGCTGACAAAGAGAAGAAGGCCCTCAGTGGCGCCGCACCATTGCATTTTGCGGCTATGCAGGGCCATCAGGCAGTTGTGCAGTGCTTGCTAGATGCTGGTGCTGACAAAGAGAAGACGGCCAACGATGGCGCTGCACCATTGCATTTTGCGGCTACGCAGGGCCATCAGGCAGTGGTGCAGTGCTTGCTGCATTCCGGTTCTGACAAAGAGAAGGCTGACAATCGTGGCCTTACACCATTGCATCATGCTGCTAGGCAGGGCCATCAGACAGTTGTGCAGTGCTTGTTAGATGCCGGTGCTGACAAAGAGAAGAAGGCCCACAGTGGCGCCGCACCATTGCATTTTGCGGCTATGCAGGGCCATCAGGCAGTTGTGCAGTGCTTGCTAGATGCCGGTGCTGACAAAGAGAAGACGGCCAACGATGGCGCTGCACCATTGCATTTTGCGGCTATGCAGGGCCATCAGGCAGTGGTGCAGTGCTTGCTGGATGCTGGTGCTGACAAAGAGAAGGCTGACAATGATGGCCTTACACCGCTGCATTTTGCAGCTATGCAGGACCATCAGGCAGTTGTGCAGTGCTTGGTAGGCCGGTGCTGACAAAGAGAAGGCGGCCAACAATGGCGTTGCACCATTGCATTTTGCGGCTACGCAGGGCCATCAGGCAGTGGTGCAGTGCTTGCTGGATGCCGGTGCTGACAAAGAGAAGGCGGCCAACAAAGGCGCTCCACCGCTGCATTTTGCGGCTATGCAGGGCCAGCAGGCAGTTGTGCAGTGCTTGCTAGATGCCGGTGCTGACAAAGAGAAGCACACCTGATGCAGTTTGCTGAGTTTGCAGCATAGCATGATTATCATGGCATTTCTTGCGAATGGCCGCTAGCCGGTGCTGATAGCAAAGCAGACAGCCGCGACCCATCACCGTGCGTCGCTGGCTCGAATGTAGAACAGCTAGGCCGACGTTGTGTGGTTGCAGATATTTGCGGAGTCGGCCGTATCAAAAGAAGACTGGCAACATACAAGGGTATGAGCGTTGACTGGCAGTGGTGTTTTAGGGTTGGTGGAACGGCGGGTTAGGGATGCTCGGAGCCTCCCAAAGATGGCCAACTTTCAGGGTAGAAAACAGCTGGCTTTGCTTCTTTTGTTTCCCTGCACGTAGCAAGGTTCTTCCTTTGTTCACGGGTTGGTGCAATCTTGGTGGGGCTCTTCCCAACATCGTATGTGCTCTTGTTCGCTCAAAAGCGCAACGGCATACATTATTTGGTGCGGCGGATTCCTGAAATGTTGCAAGTGTTCCAAGCACGAACCACCAAAAGCCTGGTCATTTGAGGAAATACTTGTTTCACCGTGTCCTCGAAAAATCTCGGGAAAGAATGGTAAGTGGCAGCCTGCGAAGTCGAGAAGCCGAGCTGCAAGGTTTGCTGCTTGTTTGTGTGGATTTGTCAGAGCCGGGGGATGACGCGCGCAAATGGATGTAGCTGGACCCTCAAACTACACCAGGTAAATATGTTTTTAAGATTTGTCGTTTGGACCTGTTTAACCAGTTGTGGCTTGGCTGTTTAGCTTTTCAATCCAAAGCTGTTCAGTCCTTTCGCAAGTCGGGCATTTGAAGCCGTCCCAGAGTCAGAAAAGCACTTGTGGAGTCCCTAGATCTCTTCGGAGCAAGCTCTGCCAAGCTTCACAGAAGCTCGCCAGACGTTTTTCTGCATGGCTTCAGATTTGGTTCTGGGCCATCTTGGTTTCTCGGTTTTGCGAAGCTTTCGTAGCATTTCCAAGTTGGCTTCGTCCGTTTTGGCGGGGGCGGCACTCCATTGTCCCGACCTCCGAATTTGGGGGCTTGAAAAAGGGCTATTTGATGTCAGAGGTCAGGTAAGAGCCCCTACTTTTGGCTTGGGCAGTTGCCATTTCAGTTAGGCAATTTCCCATGCTGAAAACTCCTGCTGCGATGCTGGGCATAAAGAAGCCCAGAGGCGACCTTGCCAACCCTCGTCACAAGAAGGATGGTGGGAACGACCCCTCCAGGAGCTGCAAAGGTCGGTGCTCCATCCTTTTCATCTTTTTCATAAACCCATGAACCTCATGTTTGATGTACAACCCTCAGCAACCTAGGCCTGTCAGCCAACAAGAGCAGCCTGTTGTCAACATATGTTCATTGGAGCCTTGGCCGCCGCAAACTTCCTTTTGCTCCTTCTCCTTTGGGGATGGTGCCATCTTACATGAAGGCCTTGGCCAACAAAAATCGATGGTCAGCCAAGACAGATCGGAATTAGCACATCCGAGTCCCGAACCAATCTCACAGTTGGCACGAGTGAAGTTCTAGGGGTACCTTCCATTTCCATTCTTTCCAGGGATCCGAATCTTAGAACACCTCCGGAAAACAAGCGAAAACGGCCGGCCGGTTTTTGGAAAGAACGAGGGTGGAAAAGAATGGACCAGGAATCAACCCCTAGATCAAAGCTCTTTTTTAGGGGCCCCCCAAACCAGCCCTTTAAAACCAACCGTGCTGGACCTCCACATCTTGGCTCCCGGTCGCATGGCCAGATCCAAATGGCCCGCTCTATGATCGTCATTTCATAGAGGAGCTTCACTGTTGCCATGTTCTTTTTCTTGTTTGGTGGTTTGGGGTTCTGTTCATGGTTGGGCTGCACACAAATCCACCTTTTCGTTTTTTGGCCACCATACCATGGGTGGGTTCTGCTTTTTAGTTCTGCTACTAAGGGTTGGAAGGAGGAGCCTCCTTGGCTCCTTTTCAGAAAGCGGAAGCTCCTGTTTGGGGGATTTCCCAGGCCGCTTTTTATGGGGTTTGTTCGCTGGAATGATAGAAGAGATCAAATGGTCCAGTATATAGGATGATTGGGGGGAAATCACAAAACATATTTTGCGTGTCCACGGGAAAAATGACCCATGGTGAAAATTGGGGCCCGAAATGGGATATTGATCAACCCTTCAGATCTTTTGCGATGCAGGTACTGCTGGCCCAGCTGGGATATAGCCAGGATTCGAGCGAGGGCGAGGCGGACTAGGCGGCTGCCGCTTCCGTCGCAACAAAGACCGGTTTTCCAGGCCAGGCAAGCCCATTTTGGGGTCCAGTCAGATGTATACCTCCTGGGTCCCTGGGGTGATCGGCACCCGGCAATTTTGGGTCGTGGATACTTGGGTTTGCCAGGGGGGGGGACCCCTGCAATTCCATTTAGGGCTCGATTTTCCCTTTTTGGGGAAGACTAAACAAATGGAATTGGGGGACCCCCCCACCCCCCTCCCCCTTAAGGTAGGGGGGATGTTCCGATCTTAAATTGGGCAAATGGGATGGTTTCTTGGCCCGGGCCACGTCTAGGAGTGGCGCAGGCTCTCCCTTGGGCTCGAGGCAGAAGGGGTTTCTTCGCGTTTGGCCTGGGCCTTGGTTCCCTTGAATCTGAAAAAGGATCTCAAGACATACTCCAATACACCGACTCCGGCCGGAGTCGGTTCCGTGTACGAATGGTGGGCCACCCCCTTACATGCAACCTGCTTGTTTGCTTGTTGGTTTCCTGAGACCAGGGTCTGGTTGTGTCAACCATTGTTTAACCAACTCAACTATTGGTTTCCGTATTGAATTGGACTGGATCGGGCCGGCTAAAACAAGCATTTTGCCACAAGACCCCACAACTCATCCACATCGCTGTCGCGTTCGGAACTTCATGCCCCCCCCCTCCCCTCCCCCTGCCTGCCAGGCTTACCTTCACTCGGCAATGGCCGCAACGGGTGAGATGATGAAAATGGGTGGGATAGGTTCTCTACAACTCCCTCTACCCACAAAATGCGTCCTTTCCCGTTTGCCTTGAACATGTCGCCCAACAGGATACCATGCAAAAAAGAACAAGGCCATACGGCAAGGGAAGTGAGGCAAAGGTCAGCTTGCCCAAGGTTGGGTTGGTACTTTGGAGGGAAAGACCCCCCAACTGACTCTGAACCAGGGGTTCAAATCCCCAAGCCACCGATCCAACCTACACCTACACAGAATTGGTCAGCCGCCAATCGCATTTTGTGGTAACTAGCTGATTTGAGACAATTTGACACACTTCTCATATGGGTTTGCCTTAAAGTAGGGGAACCCCCGCAATTTTTGGTGTCCTTTTGATTTCCCTTTAGATCTGCCCGAAAAGGCAGCAATGCGGAGAAAAACAACGCACACCCATATCTCGTCCGCTGCGGCGGTTGTGGCCTGTTTAGTCTCAGCTGAGGTTAGCTGACCCGAGGGCCGACATGTTGACATGCTGTCGGTGGCCACTCTTCTCAGGCCAGTCCATTCCATGTGACTTCAATCTATAGCATGTGGTGGTTTTTATACTGTCCTACTTTGAGACATGAGAACACCCCCTTCTTTTTCACGTGAGTTGGTCAAATTTGTTCATCCAATTGGGAGGCAACACAAAACATGCAGATTGGTCTTAGGTGCACGGTGGACCCTCGTTGCCCACAAACTCCAGCCTCACACATTTTCTCGTGTCCGGGGGAACGAACATGCTCACGGCTCGGAACATGGTTGCTTCCTTTCCTTCCAAAGCGTCGGAAGCCAACGGCCACTCGGGGAAGCTCATGTGCGCGCCTCACGTGTTGGGCTGGAGCGATCGAGCAGAGCCCAGCGCCAGACGTCTCGCAGATCTTTGGTCAATCCTCGGCGCATCTTCAAGCGCAGGCATTCGGTTTCCACAACTGCGATTCTCTTGCCCGAAGCCTCGGTATTCTGGTTAAACCCCAGATAGTGATCGCAGAAAAGTGGACCACATGTTCAAGATCTTTGAGGTCTCTCTACCAATTTTCGAAATTTGAGTAAGTACGAAACATCACCTGAACATATGACTATCAATTTGCCAAGAAAATAGGCCAGAGTTGTGAACAAAGAAAGGGTTTGCAGCACTCGGGACCGGGTCCACAGCGATCCGATCGTTGAGGTTTACTTGCCAACATCGCAGGAGCATCCACCCTTCTGGAAGAACCTCCTTTGAGGCTGCTCAAACAACGACATCCCCAAGATTCGTCCATTAAGCGAAGACTAAAGCCTGAACTCCGCCCGTATCTTGAGCCACAGCCCCTTTGAAGCTTTGGTTGCGGCCCCGACGAAACTTTGATCCAGTTTCAGCCCGGGCTCGGCTGCGACCTCCAGCCCGGAACGCGCGATTCCCAACGCCTTTGGGGAAGTTCCGTCGTCAACGAATCGGCGTCGGTTCCCTTAACAACCCCAAAGAGCAAGGCTCAGGCACGGACACGCCCATATTTTTTGGCGGATTTTGGGTTACCGTCCCAGATGCTGAGCAAACCTTACAACTGGTTTCAGTTGTTTTTTTTGGGGGGGGGCCTGGACCCTCAAAAGGCATGAGCAAAGATGGAATTCATCCCATGGTTATTTAGGACAACATCATTTGTTTAAGGGTAATTTGAGGGTCGAGGTACAACATCGCCATGTAAATGGTGTTAGCAATTGGTCCCCAATACAAACGTATCATAGATTTGTCAAATGGGTATTGCTTCAAACACCATGGGTATTGCTTCATGGTCATCAGCGACAAATACCAACATCATGGACATTGCTTCAAACTCCAACCACGTAGCCCGTGGTCTACACTGACTCACTGTATAAGTGTCCCATCTTGAGGGCGAAATCACAAGTTGCCCGTGGTTAAAATGAGTCCTTGGCTGGCCGATGCCTCAAAATCGACCCAAGCCCGTAACTGCTAGGAGCGGTTCTCACAATGGTGGCGCTCTTGATGTGCCAAGAGGATACCAGCGAATCTAGGGGACCACTATTCTGAGAATCACCCATGTGACATGCGTTAAGCAAAGGTCACACCTGAACAAACCGGTATGATGACAGGGTTTTTCACGAAGAATTCCCTTGCTGGGACCGGAGGCCAATCGTGGCAGTCAGAGGACCACAGACGTGGGATGGTCACCAAGAAGACTAGGATCTCCTCGAAAGCTATTCGATATTGCGGCCTCGACTTTTCACAGAATTCAAACAGAACCCGCTCGTATGTTTTTGGCATGTACCGTTGGGATGAACAACTTTGTGGTTCCTTTGGCTTCGAATCACAAAAGCAAGCAATACACTTCCCTCTAACATGGTTGTCACTGCCCCCAAACCACTACCCCCAGTGGTTAGATGAATTGGTATATATATATATATATGCAATTACTATATAGCCGCAATACAAAGTGTATGTGCCCCATTTCCCCCTTGGTGCTTTGAGGGTGGAAATCATTTTAGATTCCCCGCGTCCTTTGAGCGCCACTGCTCCAGTGGCCAGCAGAAACCATGTATGCTCAAACATTTCGAGCTCGCTCGGCCAAGTTAGAAAGTGGTTAGGCACCTCGGTTATAACCCACTACCAGCAAGGTTAAGTCCACTTCAGGCAAACTTGGCCGAGCACCCACGTACCTTCGAGCTTATTGTTTGGGTCTTTCTTTAGAGGGTGGCGACGAATTTTCAAGCTAAAGCAAACAATTGGGAGTTGGCTGATGCATTGGCAGGCAGGGAGTATAACTGATTACAACCGCAAACAAATTGACCAGAATCTACCATGAGGAAACAGTCCGTTGTGTCAGTGGCTCAACTCAAGCCATTGACCTCGTCGTTCAACACTCTCTCATCCAGGATCGCTCCTGACATTGATTAGTTTGCATGTGAAGATTCACTAAACATGGGGCATGTCTGTTTTGGTTGCGGGTTAAACACAGCCGTAGTTGTGCACGGATCCCTGGTTGCAAACCGCGGGAGTGACGGCGCGCGCATACTCAGCTCAGGTCTTTTGTACTTTTCAACAGGGCGCATGAAATGGCAAAGTGGCAGGGCTGCTCAACTCAATGCCTCTTGAGAGTTACTTCTGTTGGAGCATTTTGCAGCATAACTTGCTGTATTCATCCCCCCGTTTGCTTCTCTTAGACATTGCCTTTTGGTTGTGTTTGCCAGAGAAAAAAATCGGAAGGGAGAATATGGGGCACCCATGGGACATCAACATGATAGGTGTCCATGACACGGTCCCATGCAGGAATGCATCCATAGTGTACATCAGCCTGATTTACGTAGCGGAGTTGAGCTGAACTTGCCCAACGGAGGTTCCTTGCACTTAGGGATCGATCCCTTTAATGCATTTTCTGTTGGCTTGATCCTGGCAGATACAAAGAGAGGGCGAATGTTGATGAGCTCATTTGGCGTAAGATGAGCTCACCCATGATAAAGCTCCATTACTTACTTGCAAATTCCTTGTTTTCCACATTTTGTCAAAATAGGGGCACCCCAGAAATTTAGATGATCTCCTTTTGGTTTCCCTTTCAACCAACCTGAATTGGGTGCCCTGTAAAAAACCAGCACACACATCGGGATGTAGGGATCTACCTGCCACTTCTGCGGCGCCTCTGTGCATCCCTCAGCCCGCGCGAAGGGAAAGGCGGCGATTCCTGAGCCGAGCGGAGTTCCAACAGGTTTGCCCTCAGGTTCCGGCGGGACATGAATCCCCAGATGATGTCCCCCAGCTCGGGTTCCCAAGTTAAATTTATTTCCATTCTCGTAATAAGGTGTCTTTTTGGTTTCCCTGAAATACCAACTGAAAGGGGGTCCATGTTGAGAAACACCTATATGTCTTGTCCTTCCCTCCTTCGCGGGTGTTTTGCAGAGCGTCGACCTTGTCCAAAGCTGCCAGTGGGCGAAGCAAATTGGCGGATGTTGACCCAAGGCCCTGGTAGAAGGGCCGACGCAAGAGGCTTGTGGATGGCGATCTGTTGGCCCCTTATATTAGACACACTACTTACCGGCGGAGCCGGGGGGGGAGGGGGTCAAAAACTGTAACACCAAGTATGGAGCACGCTTCGCTTCCACTTCTCTTTCATGGTCTTTCTTATTATCTTTCTCGTTCTCTTTGTCTTCTGTTTTTTTTTCCGGTCTCTCGCTCGTCCTCTTCCGCTTTCTGTTGCTCTTGCTATTGTCTCTTCTTCTTCTTCTTCTTCTTCTTCTTCTTCTTTCTTCTCCTTTTCTTTTCTCTCTTTCTCGTTCTCTTTCTCTTCCTCCTCTTTTTGCTTGCTTTCCTTGTTTCTCTCCTCTTTTCTCTCATCCTCTTTTCTCTCATCCTCTTTTATCTCTATTTCTCGTTTTTTTTGTTCTTTCTCTTTCTCATTCTCTTTCTGCTTCTCTTTTTTTCTCCTGTTCTGTTTCGCTCTCCTCGTTTTTTCTTTGTTATGTCTCTTCCGCTTTCTCCTTCCGTATTGTTTCTCCTTTTGTTTCTCTTCTTCTGTTCTGTTGTGGTGCCAAACTTTTTGGCTCAAAAGCACGCCGAATGACTCCGGCCTGCAGGTTTCGGGAACCGTCGCGGCCCACGCGAAGACACGCAGTTGCATCCCCCTGCTTTGGAGCATGACCGCATGCTGCCTCAGTGCTTGCCTCCCTCTGCTTTCCTGCCTGACACGTGTGCCGTATCCTCTTGCTTGCAGGGGTCAACAGCTTGAGCTCACTTCAAGCGTTTGGCTGTGATAGCGTCATCGAGGTTCGGTCCAGCTGCCACAGTCTTCTTACCGTGCTCAATGCGCGCATTGCAACACGAGCTGAGCTTTTGCCACGGCAGGGCAACGGGCCACCCAGCCCCGGTCGCAACAGCTGCCCCGTTCATACTGTTGCGTGATGTGAAGTGTGTAAACGAGTGTGCCTTCCTGGTAAACGGAAATCCCTGGACCATTGCTTCATTCTCGTGCTTGTGTGTTCATCAAAAATCACGGCGCCTCATAGTGAAGCATGTGC